GTTTAATTAAACATCATTTATACAGGGTGATTCACAAATGGTGACCGAAGATTGGTGAATTTTAAGGGGAGTCTTTCCTATAAAGTTTTTATCTAGGACGCTTCGTTAAAAAGATACAGGGTGTTAAACTTCAAAAAATATTTTTAATTTTTTTTTAATAATTTAGAAACTAGTAAGTGAAAACTAGTTTTTAAATTACTTAAAAAAATTTAAGACGTATATTTTTAATGAAGCTGCATAGATAAAAACTTTATAAAAGAGACTCCCCTTAAAATTCACCTAAAATTCATTTTTGGTCACCATTTGTGAATCACTCTGTATTATAACAAATAACCAAGTAAAAATATATATCGGTCTTGTCTATTTTTTAATATAAAAGTTATAAAATAGCTTGTTTTGTTACAAATAAATCTGTCTTTGTAATCCAGCTTTCAGGAATGTAAAAGTTTTATTATAACGGCACTCCACTGCCACAAATATTTTTTTATCATTTTTTTTTTGTTTTGACTTCAGAAATTGTTAATTTGTGAAAGTTATACCAAAAAAATGTCAACGGACAATTTTCAGCAAAAGGAAAATTTGTATTTTGAATTCAAAAAGAAGAAATATCCCAGTGACATACCTTAATTTTTCGAAATAATGTATTTTCTAATGAGTGTCCTGGATATTTTAAATTTTATAAAAACAATAGTTATGCCAGAATAAACAACAGAGAGAAAATAATAATAAAAAATAATAAACAACATATTTTCTTTGGAATTCTAACGAGCGTTCAAATAAAAACGTGGTTCTGAAAATTTGGACGTAGGGCGTAGCGTATAGCAAATGAACTTAAACGTCATCTGTCAAAGCGCTATATCGCCGCTATCAATTTGAATATTTTCGTTTTAAAAAGCGTTTAAAATGGTGTTTTCTCAAGAACAAAAAGTGTTTATCATAGAGTCCTACTTTAGAAATGGACGCAAGATTGATGGAATATGGAAGTATTCTATTGAGGAATGTTTCATAGAATTTCAAAATCAATTTCCCGGCGTTGTTGAGTACAAAATTTTTCAAAGTGCAGTTCAGCGTTGTGTTAATGTTTTTCGTGAAACGGGCAGTGTAACAAGAAAAGAAGGAAGCGGCCGACCTAAAAAGCGGACTGAAGAATTAAAAGAAAATGTCCAACAAATAATGGAAAATGCGCCAAGAACTTCTGTACGTGTTTTATCACAAATGGTGGGAGTATCAGTCGGTACCTGCCACACAGTGTTAAAAAAAGATTTGCGTTTGTTCTCCTATCGTTTAACTTGTCAGCAAGAACTTCATGAAGTTGATTTTCCGCGACGGGCTGTATTTTGTGAATGGTTTTTAAACAACTACGGTGAACTTCATAATATCACCTTTTTTTCTGATGAAGCCTGGTTTCATTTAAGTGGTTACGTAAACTCACAGAATATGAGAATGTGGTCTTCTGAAAAACCAGATAACTTTTTTGTCGAGGGCCCTCTACACGCTCAAAAAATTGGAGTTTGGTGTGCTCTCAATCGAAGGAGGATTTATGGACCTATTTTTTTTAATGGTACTCTTACTGCGCAAAGGTATAGAGAAGAAATTATCGCTCCTTTTGTTAACCAGCTGGAAGAAAACGAAATTACAAACTTTTACTTTCAACAAGATGGCGCAAGGGCACATACGGCAGGCGAGACGATGAATATGTTGAGGGAAGTTTTCCAAAATCGACTAATAAGTCTCAATGCTGAACATGAATTTCCACCGAGGTCATGTGATATTACGCCGTGTGATTTCTTTTTGTGGCCTTACCTTAAAAACACTATTTTTGAACTGCCTATTCCTGATTTAAACCATCTGCAGGCTCGACTTATAGACAAGATTCGTGAAATTAACAATACCCCGAGCATCTTAGAAAATGTCTTTAATTCTTTGAGGAACAGGTGTGAAAAGTGCTTGGAACAAGGAGGGGGACACTTTCAGCAGCTGCTTTAATTTATTGTTATAACAAGGAGGGGGACACTTTCCGCAGCTCCTTTAATTGTTTGTTATTGTTATCACGATTATTCTTTAAAATAAAGTTATATAGTCATTAACGTTATTGAAACTGACAGCTGCTATACAGCTCGTTGAGAAATGAGGTTAAGTTGGTCGCTATAAGCTACTCCCTACGTCCAATGTGTCAGAGCCAACTTCGACCACGTTTTTATTTGAACGCTCGTTATTTTATAAGGTGTTCAAATTGTTCACCATTTAAGACCTCCTGACAGTAATGAATTTGTTGAACAACTAAACAAAATTTTATAGTGAATGTAAAAGTGTGTTTTTAGGAATAGTGGAAATTTCATGCCTTGTCCTTTCCTGCAACTCTTATTTTTCCCTCATAACTTTTGAACCACTTATCCGATTGAAGTGAAATTCGGAACACAAACACTCCTTATGATCTTACATAACCTCCTTAGTTTGAACCACCTACCCCTCTTAGAAGTGTATTTTGTGTGCTACCCCCCTCTTACATTATTTCAAAACTTTAAAAAAATTATTAATTTCAATAAAACAGCTCCAAACCACCTTTGCCTCATTGATTTTGAAACTTTTTGTTTCTTGTTTTTTTTTCGATATTTGGCATTGTTTCTAAGATATTCAATGAAATTTGTGACATTTAGAAAATAAACTTATATAATGAATGAACATTATTTTAACCTGTTCTATCGATTCCTGAAGTTATCCATATTAAAGCTGAATCACTCTGTATAACATAAAACTCATTAAATAACTATTTACTAGACCTAAGTAATTTCGCACACAAGGTGCATGCCCTACTATTAAGGTTTCCTGTCCTTGTCACTCCTACTATGGACTTTCTTCTTGATCTGCGCATCTCGTGACGTCAATGGAAGTTAAAAAAACGTTTGAGGGCCTGGTAACTAACACAAATACCTTGATTATTGAGTTTACTAACAGAATTAGGTACTGCAGTCGATTGTGCAATTAGTAAATAGAATATTTCCATTTTCCAAGTACATATCTTATGTGCATAAATTCTCGCCTGGATCCAAACCGTCTCCAGCGCCCAGTCGTCTGCGGGCAATTCTCGAAACCATAGTAAAATTAGTTTGTGTTGTAGCGCGTTATTAAAGAATAAGTAGGATGAGGTGCGCGATCCGTAATCAGCGCGACGGCACAGTCCTCTTATTTATGAATGCACGTGTTGACAAAGCGGCTAGAAGGGTCGGTGACAAGAGAAAAGCAACCGGCTCGACAGCCGCCAAGGTCCGTCTAGTAAGGCTTTGAGAGATAGATCTGGAATATGAAATGTGTGTTCTGTTCTATAATTGAATTGGCCAGAATGTTTAATACGGAGTGCCTGCATAATGTGAAGGGTTTGCTAATGTTTATTCATGGAGGTGTGCCCGCTCTTCTCGTCTCTCTATTCCTCCACAATATGCCCCGCACCGTCCTATCTCCTCTTCTCTGTGCTTAGCGGAGGGCTTATCTTTATGGTAATTATGATATTACATAACCGGCGTACCATCTATGACACTCTTTTATCGAACGTCCAATAGAGGTTGCGCCAACCAAATTGTCATCTTTATAGAACAATATTTACAATATTTATTTAATCTACGAATATGAAGAGTTATTTTTAATTACTTATATATAGGTTTTGATAAAAGAAGTAGATAGCTAAAATTTACCTCGGTAAAAGTTGCCTAAAAATGGCAGAAAAAATGTAGCCAGGTGACATAGACTGTTATAGTTTTTCCGAAGTCAATTGAATATGTATAAAAACATCTAGCAATAAAATTTAATGACTTTCATGGGCGTTTCTGAGGTAAAAAAATGTAATAATTTTTATATAATGTGTAGAAAATTTCTATTATACGTTCATTTGGCCAACAACATAATTTAATTATTTATGTTCTCAAACGATTTTATTATATTGATGGTAAATTTCGTTTCGTACCGTTTGAAAAGGTCTCAAAAATGCCATGTTGTAATAATATTAGTATTATTCAATATCCGTGACTGAAAAGATACATAGGCATCGTCGAAACCAAGAGAGTTGCGCGAACAAAATTTGGAGAGGACAGCTAATACAATGCGAAACATCGCCTTAATGTTAAAAATGCTGTCATCGCCGTTCTTGGTGGTGAAAATTCGAATTAATTGAAATTATTCAATTTTCAACAAAATATCCCTCTTATTTTTCCCTTTCGCAATTGTAATATGAATGATTAATAGAAGGTGCCTATAATAAATTAAAATTACCAAATTCCGCATTGCTGCACTGCACTGCTACGCAATTTGTTAACCACTTGTCAACAACTGAGATCAGAAAAAAAGGTCATCTCGAAAATCGTCTCTTCTTGCTCGACGAATAGTTATATGTAGAGAAACGAATCAGGGCTCCTTTTTCCCTTAAAAGTTGTACTTTCATGGTAGAAAAGAGTGATAACGATTTTATTCGATTCAAGTGTCTAAAAATGACGCGTTTTTCTTGAATATCTTTTTCGATTTTCATTTCTCGACAAAGTCTATTACACCTACAAAATCGAAACTAAGATTTCGAAATAAATATGTCAAGGAAGATATTTTAGGTATTATAATTTGACAATAGTATTTCCAGTTAGGACACTCATCTAAATGAATTTCAAGAAACAGTTTAATATTACTGGGCTTAATATTTAAATTGCTACAATCCTTTTGTCTGCTGTAAAATCGTATAACCGCATCGAGTTGTTAGAAATTGTTAGAGAGATATCATCAGCATACATAGTAAAATCTGGTAAAGACGTTAACTGATTAATATCATTTATGTGCAATAAAATAAGAATAGGGCCCAAAACGGATTCTTGAGGAACACCCATTCTTACATTGAAGCATCTTGATGTATAACGAAATGCTTTGTAGTTTATTTATGTTATTTTAACTTGTTTTATCTAATAATCCCTTCGCTTTAATGATAAACAGTGACAAGCGATAACAAAAAAAAACTTTTGTTTCAGGAAAGCGACTGTGAAAGCAGCGTCGGGTCGCCAGAACTAGCGTCGCTGGACATGGGTGCCGACACCGGCACCGACCTGACAATCGGATCAAAACAGATGCATAGTCGACTAGAAGAAGCGAACTCGAGCGATACAAAAATGTCGCCTAACGCGTCGGCAGCGGCTTCTCATTTAAATGGGACAAGTAAGTTGCATTGCGAAGTCTCTTACATTGTATATGAGGCATCTTTAATTTAAAAAAAAACGCCGTCTTTTAAGATGATTCAGTTGTATACAGGGTGACTCAGAAAATCTGGACGGCCAATAAATTAGTTTTCTCTTATGGAACACCCTGTATATTTTTTCATATTCGGATAAAGCTCAAATAACAAGCGAGATATTGCGAGAAAATTACGTTTATTTCAAAAAATATTTAATGTCATTTTTCTTAAAAGAAATTGTACTTGGAAACGAAATAAATGCAAATAATTAACGAAAAAAAAAACTAATATAGTTTAGCAATAAAAATTAGGGTTCTTTTTGTTGACACTCAGGTCACTGATAAAAATGATTAAATTTCGGTTTTTGGTCGTTGCTTAGAAACAAAAACACCACTGTTGTAGAGTGGCATTTTCACAAATTAGTACATTATTATAACCTTAATAATTCGACACTTCGCTTCGACACACCCATTTCTTGGGTTCAGAAGTTTCTGTTCTTATCTTGTTGGCGGGACCTAAATGTCGGGACGCTTGACATAACTATGCCATGCTAATAATTACCTAATAACTACTTAATTGACTAGACTATATAAATAATTCTGTGACTAGGCTTACAAATAACCCTATACCTTCCTCTTGTGACTCCGCATGGCAATACGGGACGGATTAACCAATCTCATTTAATATATTCTTAATAGCTTGGAAAATCCGCCTATAAACCAGCTATTTGATCTATTACTTTCCTTTCCAATTATTATTAATTTAACAATTTGATTTAATTCTAATTTGGAACCTCTACGCTCTTCTCGTGATTTCGCGCGTTACTAAAAATATGGGTTTCTTTATTATGTCTTTGTTCTTAAAAGAAATTGTACTTGGAAACGAAATAAATGCAAATAATTAACGAAAAAAAAAACGAATATAGTTTAGCAATAAAAATTAGGGTTCTTTCTGTTGGCACTCAGGTCACTGATAAAAATGATTAAATTTCGGTTTTTGGTCGTTGCTTAGAAACAAAAACACCACTGTTGTAGAGTGGCATTTTCACAAATTAGTACGTTATTATAACCTTAATAAACTTCGCAAATTTATCACTGAATTTTTGGAGCTTGGAAGGAATGGCACATTTAACTGAACGTGAAAGTATAGAGATCTTAATGATGGTTGGATATGGTGATAAGCTACGAACCCATGCGGAAGCATGTGAGCTGTTTAATCAAACACATGCTGACAGACCACCAATTGCATGATCTACGGTGAGTAAATTGGTCGCCAAGTTTACAGAGACTGGGTGTGTAGATAGAATACGATAAAGTAGACTTCAAATCGCTGAAGAAACCAAATTAAATGTATTGCTGGAAATTGAAGAAAATCCCCATCAGTCAACAAGACAACTAGCCCTAAACAACAATGTGGACCAATCATATGTTGTAAAGTTGCTTCGTACAGGAAAGTATCATGTATATAAAATCCACCTAATACACGAATTAGATGAGTATGACCCAGACCGCTGGTTGCACTTTTTTGAACAATTAATGTTACGGTTTGATGAAAATCCAAACTTTCTAAGCAAGTAATAGATCAAATAGCTGGTTTTTAGGCGGATTTTTCAAGCTATTAAGAATATATTAAATGAGATTGGTTAATCCGTCCCGTATTGCCATGCGGAGTCACAAGAGGAAGGTACAGGGTTGTTTGTAAGCCTAGTCACAGAATTATTTATATAGTCTAGTCAATTAAGTAGTTATTAGGTAATTATTAGCATGGCATAGTTATGCCAAAGCGTCCCGACATTCAGGTCTCGCCAATAAGATAAGAACAGAAACTTCTGAACCCAAGAAATGGGCGTGTCGAAGCGAAGTGTCGAATTATTAAGGTTATAATAACGTACTAATTTGTGAAAATGCCACTCTACAACAGTGGTGTTTTTGTTTCTAAGCAACGACCAAAAACCGAAATTTGATCATTTTTTCAGTGACCTGAGTGCCAACAAAAAGAACCCTAATTTTTATTGCTAAACTATATTCGTTTTTTTTTTGTTAATTATTTGCATTTATTTCGTTTCCAAGTACAATTTCTTTTATGAAAAATGACATTAAATAATTTTTGAAATAAATGTAATTTTCTCGCAATATCTCGCTTGTTATTTGAGCTTTATCCGAATATGAAAAAATATACAGGGTGTTCCATAAGAGAAAACTAATTTATTGGCCGTCCAGATTTTCTGGGTCACCCTGTATACAACTGAATCAAGATATCTCTCCCGAGAAAAAAAAAATGACCTGTCTCGGCGTTTTTTTTTTTAAATCACTCAGTATAAAAGTTATGGATTTTGTTCCAAACTCACGCTGTATTCATAAAGAACGTGTCATGGTATAATATGTATATTGAAATAGTTTAATTTTTTTCTCTCAGGGTACTTTGATTCACTTACGTCCTTAATTAATAGTTGATATGGATTGTATAATTATTTATGTGTTTATATGTAGCAATATACACAACGACTATAAACTTCAGTAGTCTCAAAACAGACGCATTGTATAACCGACTGCTATTAACAACCTCTGGTAAACTGAAATGAAAACTGTGAGTGAACTAAATACAACTCTGTTACAATTCGCGTGTCTCGAACTCTTCAAGCAAGTTTCATGCCACAATTTGTTCAACACTCGATTGAAAAAGCTTTACAAGAAATTTCATAACATTTTATGAATTCCCAAGGGCAAAACTACTCAAGAAAATAAACCGTCGCTATTCCTTTTTGCAGTGGCCGGTCTAGTGACGCTTCAGAACCTCCAGAACTTAGCCTCCCTCCAACAGAGTCTTCCACAGGTGGCCTCTTTGGCAGCAGGACTTTCGAATATGGCCAATTTATCCGGGAATTCCGCTGTAAATGCTCCCCTCAACCTCAGCGTCAGTGCATCAGGTAAAGTCGCTTTCGCCCGATTATTACACACAATACGTCAGAGATCTCAGTTGACTCACGAGAATTTTAATTGCAAGCAGAAAATTACAAACAGTAATGTAGTCCATTTTTTAAATTAATGAAAATACTGGGTGATTCTAAAATATGCTGGTAAACTTTCATAACGAGAACTAGAAGTTAAATTAGATTGTCTGGATCTAATTTACCATGATTCCAAAATGCACGCCTAACGACTAACATCTCGTTAAAGTTGAAATAAAGAGAAACATTAAGAGAGTTCTTTTATGGAACGTGTAACAATTCGCGATTAAATCTATAATTAACATTGTTAATAAATCTGATTTGAACAAGCTCAATTCTGTTTATATATTTAAAATATAAAGAAGACCAAATTGCCGTATTATATTCTAATTGAGAACTAACTAAAGAAAAATAAAGACAAAACATACTTTTAATATTTTTAAAATCCTTGGTCAGTCTCAAAATGAAACCCAACTTTCGAAACGCACGTCTGACTATATAATCTATATGATCATCAAATACCAACTTATCATCCAAGATGACACCGAGATCCTTAATACTATAAGCTTTTTCAACAATATTAAAACCAATAATAAAGTGACTGAAAAGTATGCCTATTTCTAGTGAAAGAGATATGACTATATTTCTTATCATTAATAAATAACTAATTAGAATTACAAAAATTACAGTCTATGAATATCTTCCTGAAATTCAACAACGTCAGTATCACTTGAAATTTGTTTGAACATTTTTAGGTCATCAGCATACATCGAGAAATGACAGTGCGTAAAGCAGTTAGATATATTATTTATACAGGGTGTAACTAAATAAGTGTAAAACATTTAAGGGGGTGATTCCTCATCGAAAAAAAAATGGGATCTTTCATATAAAGAAACTTCATTGGAGCATCCCTTGTTAAGATACAGCCCCTTAAAGGGGGTACATAAAATTTGTTTAACAATTTTTTTCACAAGCACTAAACAAGTTACAATATTGAAATTAACCTGACATTTTCTACTACCAAAAAGACACTTAGCCAGTAATTTATTTGGTTTACCCCATGGTTGTAAGGGGTGGAAAACGCAACCCCTAAAATTTATTTCCAACGTAATTTTTTGTCTTATTATTTTTTTACCATTTAAAAATTTATTTCCGATAGCCTGTTTCATTCTAAAAAAAAATGTCTCTTGAATTTTTTGCCCAAATTAAACCAGTTCGCAGCAAAAAATTATTTTACGAACAAGATACATATCGCCATAAAACGAAAATACGAAACTAATTTATCTAGTAGGCCGCCATTAGCGATACTGACAATTAAATTGGAATCAAGCTGTCAGTTTGTAAATTTTTGAAATTGAAGTAATACTAATTGTGTATTGTTCTGTTCTTAATTTGTTACTTTAATAATTCACTTGTTATTAAAATGGCATACACAAATGAGGAAATGGCTGATATGCATTACGTTTACGGTCTGTCGCAGGGGAATGGGTTAGAAGCTTCTACAAGATATGCTGAAATGTATCCTCAACGGCAGCATCCTTCACATAGAATATTTGTCTGACTTCATCAACGATTACGTGAATATGGTTCATTCAACAAAAGAACGCAGGATTGTGGTCGCCATCGAGAAGTAAGAACACCACAGCTTGAGGCAGCAGTACTTAATTTGATAGAAGAACAACCTACTACCAGTACTAGAAAGATTGCTTTCCAGCTAAATGTTGATCATATGACGGTATTTCGAATTTTAAAGGAACATCTCTTATACCCTTACCATCTGCAACGAGTACAGGCACTGTTACCGCGAGACTTTCCGAACCGTCTTGAATTTTGCAATTGGATGCTGGAAATGATTAGAAGAAATCGTGACTTTCTGAAGACGATCGAATTCACAGACGAATGTAGTTTTTCTCGGGACAAGATTATTAATTTTCATAATTACCACATATGGGCTGATGAAAACCATCACGCTATTGTCGAAACTAACCATCAAGAACAGTTTTCTCTTAAGGTGTGGGTCGGAGTTATTGGGGATTATTTAATTGGGCCTCATTTTCTACCTCCTCGATTAAATGGTGAGGCATACGTTCAATTTTTAAGAAAAGTGCATCCCCCCGTACTGCTGGAGGAAGTTCCTTTGGGCGTCAGAAGGGATATGGTTTTTATGCATGATGGGGCTCCCGCCCATTTTAGTCAAGTAGCACGTCAGCATTTAACTGAAACATATGCAAATCAGTGGATAGGTCGAGGAGGACCACAGAATTGGCCCGCTCGATCCCCGGATCTCAATCCTCTGGATTTGTCTACTTGGGGCCATTTGCAGCATTTGGTTTATCGTACTCCTGTTCGCGATGTAGAGGACTTAAGAAACCGCATTATCGATGCGTGCAGGGTAATTAGAGAGACTCCAGGAATATTTGAGCGAATACGTGGCTCAATGCGCCGACGTCTAGACGCATGCGTAATGTCTGAAGGTAGACATATTGAACATTTACTATGATTTCTACATGTTGTATGTTTTGTTATTATTAAATTAGTTTTGATTATTCCCCTTTAATCATTTAATGCAGGTAGTAACTACAAAATAACAGTAAATCCAGTCCGCATTTATGACGATGTATCTCTGTAGTTGTTCGTAAAATAATTTTTTACTGCGAACTGGTTTAATTTGGGCAAAAAATTCAAGAGACATTTTTTTTTAGAATGAAACAGGCTATCGGAAATAATTTTTTAAATGGTAAAAAAATAATAAGACAAAAAATTACGTTGGAAATAAATTTTAGGGGTTGCGTTTTCCACCCCTTACTACCATGGGGTAAACCAAATAAATTACTGGCTAAGTGTCTTTTTGGTAGTAGAAAATGTCAGGTTAATTTCAATATTGTAACTTGTTTAGTGCTTGTGAAAAAAATTGTTAAACAAATTTTATGTACCCCCTTTAAGGGGCTGTATCTTAACAAGGGATGCTCCAATGAAGTTTCTTTATATGAAAGATCCTATCTTTTTTTCGATGAGGAATCACCCCCTTAAATGTTTTACACTTATTTAGTTACACCCTGTATATATAGAAAACAGTAAAGGATGACTACCTTGAGGGACACCCGACGTAACTTTGCTAATATCAGAGCTACATTTCATAATCACAACGTACTGGGAACGATTTGTTAAATACGATTTAATCCATGCCAGAAGGTTGCCAAACACACCAACACATCGAAGCTTATCAAAAAGAGTATCATGGTGAACCTTATCGAAAGCTTTCGAAAAGTCCGTGTATCTACCTGACGTATGATGCGACGTACTACTAGAACCTGGAGTTGAAGTGTCATTGTAAATAATCCTGTTGGCTATTTCATTTTTGTACTTAAACTATCAGCAACATAACTTTCCACAATTGTGGCTGATTTCCACCCACCATGTCTCTTGATTGCTAATACGTCAACTCCTGTATTAGCCAGTAATGTTGCCGATGTTCTTCGGAATGAATGGCCTGTATATGTTTCAGAATGTTCTAGTTTCAAAAACTGTGCAATATTATTAGGGGTCACTTGTTCTCTTGACTTTTTAGGTGTATAGCCGTCATTACGTTTCAAAAATGCTCTCAGCTTGGAGTATTTTGATGTATCCACGTTCTCCTCTATGAAAATAGTTGACTTAATCATTGAGTATTCACTCCACAAACTCGCCGGTGACTTTAAAGTTCTTGACTTGCTAGCAGTGACATTTCAGAAACACCAGTATTTTTGTTCTTGCACCATTCTCTGATATTTCTGTATGCTCGTCCGTAGCGCACCATCGACTTCTCGGGCAATAAAAATTCGCATACTTTCCTCCTTTATGGTGTAAATAACTATTATTGATATTCACTTCAAAGCGTAGCTATTTATTATCATTGGTCGTGTGCCAAATTTGAAAAACAATGTATTCAGATGTTTAGATTAATTTGTAATTTTACTTTTTTTTTTAATTTCAACTTTAAGCGACTGTGATTCGTTAGAAGTGCATTTTAGTATTAAATAAATTGGATCCAAAGAATCTATCTTAACTACACATATTTTAAAATCACCCTGTAGTTGCTTGTAAATAAGCGCGTACATTCTTAAAATAGTCCCCACCTAAAAGCGACGCTTGAATTCATTTCAGCGGCGACGCCACGAAGCTCCCAGCCCAGCGGCTTAACAGATTCTCCCCCCAGCATAATGACGACCCCGCTGAGCACCCAGCAACCTCCGCCAGCGCCGGCGATGCAGCCCCCCAACCCTCTCATGGGGTCGCAGCAGCCCGCACCTATGCCCCAATTCATCTTGGCCTCGGGACACTTAGTCCAAGGCATTCAAGGTGCCCAGCTACTCATACCGACCTCGCAAGGTAAACTAATATCCGTTTTGTTCTGCTTGCAGTGACCCAACTGTTTACAGAAATGTCTGATATACTGCTGTGGGTAACTCAAAATAAGCGTAGTGGGGCAACAGCCTCCATAATTGCCCTCATATGAAAGACTAAATAAACTAGACAGTGCTTTCATGTAGTGTCTAAAAATTATATTAAAATTGTCATCAAAAGCCATCATATACGGTGTATCCCCTAATGGGGTATCGCACTCTTGTAAACTTTTTTACTATTGATTTTTCGAGACAAAATTATTCTTGATAAAACGTTTTGCTTACCTTGGGAAGCCATGGGCGGTAATCAAATATGTAATAAATATACAGGGCGTCCAAAAAATTTCAAATTGTGAAGTGTTCAAAGTGCCTTTAATTTTTGTTTTCGTTAAAAACATTCATAATTTTATTTTATGAAAATTAGTAAATGTAAATTTTAATAGAACATGATGACTTATCTCAGTAGTCGGTTCTAAACGTGGTGAGATTAATTATTTAAAAAAATGTTTTAATATTTCATTAATTTTGTTTAAAAAAATAAAATAATATTGTTATAATCTGGATTTAAATTTGTATATTGAAACAATAGATAATACATTTATAAATTCTCACTAACTTCTGTCTAGCCTGCGATAACTTATTTCTAATATCTTATTCTACCAATTTATAGTTTCTTATTACCTAGATCTACACTAGGGTGGGTAAAAAAAAATCGACAATTTTTTTTTACTTTATACTCTGAAAAATAGGTTGCTAGACACCTCTAGAAAATCCTCTCCAAATATGAGTTTTTGATTAATAATAATTCGAAAAATTTCAATTTAGTTTAAGTTTCAGGGAAATTTATACAAATTTGAGTTTCTAGTGAAGCTCCTAATGCAGTCAAAAAAATTCTTCGCTATCATACTCAATGGTTAAAATTACAAAAAAGGTTTAAAAAAAATGTTTGAAATTTTATAACTCACTTGATAATTAAATAAAAAAACTTTTTAATAACAAATTGAACATTTTTTTCTTTAAGATTAATACTTTTCATAATAAATTTCTGACAAAAACGTTATTTTTTCAAGATTTAATGAATCATTGACTCTTAGTCAGAAATAATGCACTATTTTTTTTTCGATGTAACCAAACATGCTTACGACTAAAAAAACTAGAAAAATAGTTTAAACATTTCTCTGTTAATAGAAACTCAAATTTGTATAAATTTCCCTAAAACTCATAAACTAAATTGAAATTTTTCGAATTATTATTAATAAAAAACTGTTAAAATTGGCGTGCATTGAAGTTTGACGATGAATATCTTTTAAACGCTTTATTTAATCGACTAATCATAAGAGACCATTTCTGTAGAGCAGTTAATTTCCTACAAAACTATGAATTGCGCATTTCATAATGATTTTTTGTTAACGAGTTATAAAATTCATAAGCAAAACAGAAATTTGTCTTAAAATAATCAAACTTCAATCTTTAATATCTTTTAAACGGTGAGGTTTACAAAAACATTGTAAGATACCTTTTTTGTAGGGCGTTCAATTTCCTACAAGTATATGAGGAGAGATATTTTTAACGAACAGTTGATAGAGAGATATGAATTTTTTTTCTAATACTGAGGAAAAAATGGAAAACTGTAAAGCGGAGGACCTTCCTATTAAGATTAAGAGCTCATATTTGGAGAGAATTTTCTAGCGGTGTCTATCAACCTATTTTTCAGAGTATAAAGTAAAAAAAAATAGTCGATTTTTTTTGACCCACCCTAATCTACACTTTTATTGTCCTTCTCTGTCCACGGTTTCTTCAGTAGTAATCTCCTTTCTGCAATCTCCAGTCTATCCTCTGTTGACTTGTTTCTCTTTCTGTCTCCTCTACACTCTGATGGCTGCAACTGCCTGAATCACCTTTATGGCTCCTATGGCTTCTTTCTTTTCTTAACGGCTACAACAATTCAAATAGTATTTTACTAACCTGACTATTTTACTATTATATTTAGTTATCTGTCAAATTTTGACTTCAACTTTATTTTTCTTTCTTCCAAACTAATTTTTCTTTCCCAATTTTTAATTCTCTTAATAAAGAAGAGGAGAACAGCCTTATTTCTTTATCGTATCCTGAATGAACTGCAATAATTTTGATCTTGTTTAAATTTTAATTGAATTCCTCTTCTCCTCAGCAATTGATTTCCAGTTGATTCCAATTGATTTCCATTGATAGTTTGTATTGTTTCTTTTTATTCTTTTATAATTCATTTCGCTTCTTCTTAGTTAATCTTCTTTTTGGTTCTGACTTTATATTTAATAATTCCTATTCTTACTTATTGATTCTTATTATATTTTTTTCTCCGTATCCTCGATAACCATCATTTTTTTTTTAAATCACTGCACTCTTATCTCTAATTACAATTTTTCTTAATATATCCCTTTCAATTTCGACCAATCAGATTATTACTTAATTTATACATTTCAAATTTAACATTTTCAATACCATTTTATTTTACTTTTCCTAAATTCCATTATTTTATGAACACTTTTTATTAATTTAGACAGATTTCATAAAAATTTACATTTTATTCTGAACTGTCACTTTTCATCTAACTGTCACCTAAATTATTATTACTATTTCGTCACCATCTATACAATATGTCATTATTTGATGTATTTTAAACTTAACTCCCATTATATTTTATAATAAAACTATTAAATCAATTTTTACCTGTTACAATATATTTTTTTCTCTCGTCAGGATGTTATTAGAAGTGGTTGTACCTTTCTGTGCGCATTTTTTTGTTAAATCTGAATTTATAAGGTAACACCCGTTTGGAAGAAGATTTTATAGTCATGTTCATATGAAAAATGTTTCTATTCTAAACGAATTTTTAGTGTTAAAAACAAAACTAATCAATCGTCAACAGACACAGCTTCCGCCGTGCTTGTCTTATTTACATTTTCCTCTTGCAGGGCTAGCCACGCAGACAATCCTAACAATACCAGTGAACCATGTAAATAGTACGGACCAAATGGTCAACTTAGCTTTAAATAACGGTCAAGTAATGCAAACATCTTTAGCGAACCTCCAGGCGATGGCCCAGAGTAATCTCCTAAACAATCACACCAATCCAGGTAATTTCTTCTAATAATTCGATAAATGTTACGACCAGTGTGACATTCCATCTTTAACATCATATGTAATCTATTGTTTTGACTGATTTATTTAGAATTGGAGAGATGTTTAACAAAAAATATAAATAAATAAGTATAAAGTATAAAACAAACACTTTTAGGGCAGGTACTTTGAGTCTCGGTTAATATTTGCTTAACAAATCAGACGATTAGACTGTGAATATATACTTATAAAATAAATCAGTATACAGGGTGGGCCATTAGTGTGAGAAAATAAAATAACTCCCTTGTTATACAGAATAAAAAAACTTAAAGGACAAAATTAATTTGAAACATGCAGGGCGATGAGTATAAACGGGGCACGCCAAATATTACATTTTTTAAATGGAACACCCTATATATTTTTAAACATATGGATTTCTGAGAAAATTCTGTATATGGCAATATAAACAGTTTAATATTGTAGTACGGTGTTGCTAAGTTATGTAGAAAATTCTTCGAATTTTGGAAAAAACATGACCTCGAAGAAGTTGTATTAACTTTCAACTACCGACACTTGGAGCAAAAATATTTGAGTTATAGACAAATATTAGGCAAAGTTTCCAATATTAGCTAATATCACCCTGTATTTTATTGCTCTATTTTATTCACATACCAGTCCGCTTAAACTTTTATTAAGTATGTTCTACACCTAAAGTTGTTAGTTTTAAAGTAATAGCCACATTTCTGAAAAAACCTAATTTTTATTATTTTCGGTCGCACGAAACGGTTTTGGAAAAAACTGTCACATTGTGTCAACTTGTCAGTTCATAATTTATCATTCAATTTTGAGTTAATTTTATTAGTTAATATTTGTTAGTTGGTATTCCATAAAATAATAAAAAATAATTTTTTTCAGAAATGTTGCTATATCTTAAAAACTAACAATTTTAGATACCTATAGAACATGCTTAATAAAAGTTGAAGTGGACCCATATGTGAATAAAATAGAACAATAAAATACAGGCTGTTCCATTTGAAAGATTTTAGAAAATCAAGTTTGAACTTTCTAAAAATTATCATATTATAAAAAATGCCCTGTATAAAGTATCGATATTAGTTAATACAGGAGCCTTTGTCTAACATTTGCCTATAACTCTGTCTAATTATTTTGTTCAAAGTGTTAGTAGCTGAAAGTTAATACAACTTCTTCGAGGTCATGTTTTTCCAAAATTCGAAGAATTTTCTACATAACTTGGCAACCCCGCACTAAAATGATAAACTGTTTATATTGCCATATACAGAATTTTCTCGGAAATCCATATGTTTAAAAATATACATGGTATTCCATTAAAAAATGTAGCATTTGGCGTGTCCCGTTTTTACTTATTGCCTTGTATGTTTCAAATTAATTTTGTAGTTTAGGTTTCTTGATTCTGTACAACTTTTATATAAACTTTTTTTCTGTATTATGAGTAACAAATGAGTTATTTTACTTTCTCACACTAATGGCCCATCCTGTATATACAAGCCAATCATGTGATTACTTACCTAAGGCTTAACCGAGACTCAAGGTAACGGGCCATAGTCTTATAAATAGTCATCAGCACTTAGATGAATGAAGAAAGTCATTAAATAAAAGGAATTGTTCAATATGCTTATAGAAATTGATTGTGTCATATCTTAGTAGTCTTAATTAGTTACTTGTCTACTTATCAATTTGTGGATGTTCCTCTTGATGTTCTTTGAAAGGTCCAAACAAATGCAAGTACCATATCTTGGTGTTAAATACGACGGATATTGCAACAGCTCTACCTTCAGATTGTATTTTGTATTTTGTGTATAAGCAACAATATATGAAAACGATATTGTAATGCAATATTGTTTTGGGTTGAACTTCAATGTTTTTTCCATCATATCTGGAGCTTCGACATGTCCACTAACACGTCACTTATCGTATACTTCACACTCTTCATGCAAATATGTTTTATGGGTTAAGTCGAAAGTTAGTGAACAGTTGAGAATGTTTATAAAGCTATGTCGAATAAGACACAAACTATTTCTATAAACTCTCTTATAACAACAGTGTCAGTCAATAATTGTTTCTTTCCTTCGCAAATGTTTCATTAAATATGAGGCAGATGAGTTTTATCGCGAGTTTCTTTCAAGAAACTTTACCATTTTCCATTACGACACAGATATTTATGACCAACACATTTCCAGTTCCACCAACATCAAACGGCACCATAAACCCGAACCTCCTCAACCCCGCCACACTGACCCATCTTCTGTCCAACGGCTCAGCACAGCAACTCCTCCAATCCATCCCCCAGATATTAAACAACCCCCACGCGAACCCCAACCCTCCCCCGTTGCTGAATCCTTTAACACAACCCCTGCTCTCTACCACACCAAACCTCCTCTCGACACCCACCTCCCAGTCCACGTCGCAACACAGGAGTCAGATGAACTCCAGCAGCCACTACGTTGAGCCCAAATTGCACGCCCAGGCCCTACCAAGGAACCCATCGCCGCCCAACGCAACCGGTAACCCCAACAGGTTGGCCAATAACGGGGAAATAAGCATCACTACCAACCACGGGCCTAATTCTAGTCAGAATATGAAGAGGTCGCCTTCGTCGCTGTCCCCGAATTGCACGGATAGCTCTACTGCTGATCTCTTGATCGACTCTCCAAGTAAGTACCCACCATTTGAATTAATTACAAGTTAGTGTTTGATCTACAGGGTGTTTGGTAAGTCGATGCATTCCTTGCAGGTTATAGTACAAATGATTTGTGGTACATTTCCTTAATATACCATATTCCGAAAACTTTTAGTTTTCGATCTACAGGGTGTTAAGGTTTTAACAAAAAAAATGCAAATTAATAAATATTGCGCCAACCGCTCAGAATATTTTAATGAAATTTTACAGGTTTAGACAGTTAACAACAATACATGTTTCACGAGATAAAAATATTGTTTTCAGTTTCACCAGTGGCGTGCGCACAGGCATGTCTCTAGATATTGTTATAGAAAAAAATGATACACCTCTGATTTTTCTTAAAATAAAAATTATTTTTGAATTGCTTGTTCAATTTAGAAGAGAAAAGGTATCTCGACTGTTTTTCTTATGACGCACCGTTTTCGAGTAAGAAAAATATAAAATTTTGTCAAACAATAACAAAAACTTGCTAATTTTTGTTTAGATAGTGAATAGTGAATCTAAAAACAATTTTTTTTGACTGATGTTGTTAACTGCAAGGAATAATAATTTTTTGTAATAAAATTGGTAGAAAAAAAGCTGAGTGCAAAATTTCTGCTATTTTTCAAATTATTGAAACCGGATTGCGCCATGCAATAAATCGATTTTAATTTTTTTTGTCAAAAACGGTGCATCATAAGAAAAACAGTCGAGATACCTTTTCTCTTCCAAATTGAACAGGTAATTGAAAAATAATTTTTATATTAAGAAAAATCAGTGGCGTTTCATTTTTTTCTTTTAAAATATCCAAAGGCGTGCCTGTGAGCACGCCACTGGTGAAACTGAAAACAATATTTTTATCGCAAAATATGTATAGTTAATTGTCATAGCTTGTAAAATTTCATTAAAATATTTTGTGCGGTTTCTGCAATATTTATAAATTTGCATTTTGTTATTAAAACTTTATCACCCTGTAGATCAGAAACTAAACGTTTTCGGAATATGGTATATTAAGAAAATATATCACTTGTACCATAACCTCCTGCAAGGAATGCACCGACTTACCAAACACCCTGTATAATATGGAATGATTCGAATTTATATTCTGAAATCATAAAAACTAATTCTTTATTGAAAATTTTACTGAATTTCTTATTCTTTTTCTTGTTCTCCTAGATCACGAGCCGCCACAGCACGTTGCAATAAATCGCTCAATTTATTTGTTAAATTTAAATCTTTAAATCTTTAATTATAACAAAACTCATAATAACAATAAATCGCAAACCGTAGTACTCATATGCTAGACAAAGGTAAATGCAAAAAAATAAAAGATCTTTTTTTATGCTTCCAATTCAATTTCGTTACCTTCAAAGTAATGCCCACCCGATTCAATGAATGCACTTATGCCAACGTTTTTTCCAACTCTCGAAACAGTCTGAAAATTTATTTTCCGTATACGGCCTTCAAATGCTTTCGTCAATTGGGCTTTTATTTCCTCGATCGATTCGAAACGGTGTCCACGGCGTGGTCTTTTGAATTTAGGGAATAGCCAGAAGTCATTCGGTGCTAAATCGGGCAAATACACTGGTTGCGGAACGAAATGTGTTGAATTTTTGGCGAAATGGTTTCAAATAAGCAATGCTTTTTTGCCTTCATTAGTCTTTGTACCACTTATAATCATTTTTTTGCGACATAACCTCATCACTGAATAGCCCGGTGAAAATAGACATTCAAGGTTATAATAATTCGCATAAAGCTGAAAATTGGTACGAATGTTGGGAACGCCATTATAAATGAGATGTGAAAAGTCCCCATTTCGTAATTATGGGTTTTTGCATTTTTCAGCCAAACGGTAAGTTTTATAATGAAAATAGCTTTGACAAAAATTGTGGATTATACAATTATCTACACTTGCACTTTTTTTCCTAAGAATCACCATTTCTGAGATATAGATAATTTTCAGAAGGGGTAAAACAACAGTTTTACAATTGTTTGAAAAACAAGATTTAGTTAATTGTGCTAAAGTTTTTAAAGAGAGTAACTTAAGTCCAGCAAGAAGAAGAAGACATTACACTTGAAGTTCCATTAGATAATTGTCAGACGAATAGTTTCCCCCAATTACTCAGTCCAGACGGTATGTTTCAAAAAGCCATATTTGGGTGAATCGTATATCCACGGAGCTTTTTGGCTGTTTGGCTTTCAAATATCACTAGAAATTAAAACTTTTCTATGCGCATAAAAAAACGTGGGCTTAACTTTTGTCGGCACAATTTGTTAAAAAAATTGGAAAAATGTCCTATTTAATTATGTATCTTTTCAAGAGTTGATTTTAGGCGAAAATGGAAAAGGAAAAAAATTTTTGTAATTAAATTTTTTACAAAACATGACTAGTTACAAATCGAATGAATCATGATTATTATGGTAAAAATCGAAAAAATGGGGTTAAAAAAAAACAATACTTTTTAGGGAATTTTTTTGGGGTATTTAAATTGGGTATAGGACCTTGGCTCAAAGAAACTTCATGTTATGTAGAATTATCACACCAAATTTCATCAAAATCGGTTCGATAGATTTTGCATAATAATTCTGCAATCCAGATTAAAAAAAATTGCAAATTTTCAAAATTTTGCACAGCAAAAATCAAGGCCTTTAGATACTTGAAAATTTAATCACATATAGAAGGGCTCTCAAGCTTTCAAACGCTTTTTGAAAAATTCGAATCCGTCAATTAGGAGAGCTCTGGCGCTTGTTTAAACATTGGTAGAATTTTTGTACTTATAAACAATTAAAATAACTTTGTGAATATTCAATCAAATTTTTTAAAGCAGGTTTTAAAAGTTTTTGGAAACACGCTTTCTTTAAAAAAAACAAATCGATTGATCAATTAGTTACGTAGTTATAGCCAATCAAAGTTAACCGTCTTTTACACTAAATGTACTGGGACATCCAGGCCAATTTTTCGAAAAATACCTTTGGTATTCCGAGTACTTACCAGGTCTAAGATTACAATACTTTTCTTCATTGGCAACCTACTTTAAAACGTGTTTAAAGTTATTTATGCGAGAAATTCAATAAAATCGTACGGATGGTGGTGGTGGTGATGGGGGAAGCAGAGAGCGCGGCCGCTTCAGCCTGCTCGAAATTGTATCGGCTATAACTACGTAATTAATTGATCAATCAATCTTTGCTTTTTTAAAGAAGCGTCTTTCCAAGAACTTTTAAAACCTGCTTTAAAAAATTTGATTTGATTGAATATTCACAAAGTTATTTTAATTGTTTATAAGTACAAAAATTCTACCAATGTTTAAACAAGCGCCACAGCTCTCCTAATTGACGGATTAAAATTTTTCATCGAACCGATTTTGATGAAATTTGGTGTAGTAATTCTACATAACATGAAGTTTTCTTGAGCCAAGGACAACGGTCCTATACCCAATTTAAATACCCCAAAAAAATTCCCTAAAAGGTATTATTTTTTTAACCCCATTTTTGCGATTTTTTCGATTTTTACCATAATAATCATGATTCATTCGATCTGTAACAAGTCACGTTTAGTAAAAAATGTAATTACAAACATTTTTTCCACGTTCATTTTCGCCTAAAATCAACTCTTGAAAAGATACATAATTAAATAGGAAGAAGAATATGATATTTTTCCAATTTTTTTTTAACATATTGTGCCGCCAAAAGTTAAGCCCACGTTTTTTATGCGCATAGAAAAATTTTCATTTCTAGTGATATTTGAAAGCCAAAAAGCCAAAAATCTCCGTGGATATACGATTCACCCAAACCAAAACAGATACCGCCTGGTCTATCATAATTCACACCGTTTTCATCATTTGCAATAGTACCATTTTTTATTTAATACAATATTATTTAATTGACCAGGACCACAATAGATCGTGGAATAACCCTATCGGGAAGACCACATTAAAAAAAACGCGCCAAGTACACTACGTCTCAGGTGGCGTGGAAACGTGTGCATAGTATGGAGAACACATCTTTTTCAACTTTTTGAATCGCTATATCTCAGAAATGGTGATTCTTAGGAAGAAAAGTGTAAGAACAATTTTAATAGATTTAATATAATTGCATGATCTATTTTTATGATAAAACTTACCGTTTGGCTGAAAAATGCAAAAAACACATATTTGCGAACTTTGACCTTGAATACATTTTTTTGTAGATGTGGGATCGATGGGGACTTTTCACATTTCATTTATAATGGCGTTCCCAATATTCGTATCAATTTTCATCTTTATGCGAATTATTGTAAGTTTTTGAGCTACTTTGACCGGGTTATAAAGGCCTTCTATTAGGAGCCAAAGTTTGACTAAAAGTGTGTTTTATCGATTATTGGTATACTACATCTTCGCACCCGATTTTTTTTCTGTGCAAAAAATGGATAAATTTAACACGGCTTAAGTCAACTGAAACGTTTCTAATCACAGAAAAATTATTTAAAAAAAATACGTTTTGTCTTTGCCGGTTTTAAACGTTTGTAAGTATGTAGTCGGCAGTATGTGAATCACACCATTTAGCTCCTTGCAAAGTGGCAATATGCATAATTTAAGTACGACCCGAGAGCCCTGAACAGATGTTATCAGCAGCGGCTGTTAGATGGGATTTCGATCATTTTTAGTGTTCATCGAGAATATGACTCTGATCGTCTGTCTGTCATAATGATTTCCCTAATGAATTCCGGTAATTGCCGGCCGGTAGATGCAATAAAAATTTACTCTAATTTATTTAATCGGTCATTAATTGAATTACGTAAAGCACATTAATAATAATTGCCAGTTCTGCCAGGGCGATACAACTATATTCCAGAATTAATCATTTTATCATCTTGCAATTGTATTAATTAAGGCAATAGGCCTAAGTGGTTATTACGATTATAAAAGAACTTATAAATAAATCTATTACACAATTCGCGCACAATGACACGACACCACGGTTCCACATAATAAATGCGTGTATTGAATAAACATAATTATTTAATCGTATATTAAAATTTATAAAATATAATAACTGGCCATACACACTTTGTTTGCTTTTAAATTGACTCAATTGGTGGTTTGCCACAACATGCCTCTACAAAAGCATTGTAACAATTTGCATTATGTACGGGCTGTTGTGCCGTTACAATTATAGCAAATAGACGACGTTTAGCGACTCCGTTCGTCCTATTTTTGCATTACATAATAGCCTTTCGCAATGGTAAAGATATATGCTCTACTTGCTCTTGCCATTTAACACCACGTATATCAATTTATCTAATTGAAGTCAAAAAATATATTAATCAGTTTTGAACTTTATAAAATTTGCGGGATTTGTGAAATCTTAGATGAAAGTATAATTGTGTTAGCTTTCATATAACGCAAATACTTGGGTTGACGTACGAACACACTTTCGGCTGGGTCCGCATGGGTTCTGTAGCGTCTTCGCGTTGAATCTGGTTCAGTCCGAATTTCGTAATATTCAGAAATGTGCGAAATTTTATTTGTTAACCTAACAATGTGTTAAGTTTCAAAAATATTGTCATGACCACACTAATAGCTTTAGTTGATTTAAATTTAACTTTATTCCTTCTACCTAGAAAGAAAATACTAATAAGTAAAACAGAAATTAGGAGGCTTAACTAATTCATACGTTAAAGTGTATACAAGTTTTTGAAAAAATATCAAAAAAGTAGATACTAAAATTGCAATCATCAATTCGAAAACCATTTTTGTAAGTTGTTGCTATTATATCATTGATCACAATTTAACAGGAACACCACTTTCAAAAGTGTCAGAATTTCAATCATTTATGAGTATGCGTATTACACAAAATTTTTTTACAAACCCTTTACAAGTAGTTTTTGATATATCGCACTGGGAAGTTTTACACAGAAAAACCTTTATATGTACTTACCAAAAATTGGTATGTGTAAATATCAAGTAAGAGTTATCTTAAAAACATGAAAAAAATTTACCTTTAAATATTTAGGGGAGCAAAATGTACAAGGCAACTTGATCTAATTGGATTTATTTTCAATCACGGAAGCTACCCTACTCTGTCAAATTTTTTACTGGACACGCTGTCAGATATGACACATTGACTAAATCTAAGCTTACGATTAGTAAAACTTCTTCCAATGCGAGATGTTATAAAATTACCAAATATTGCACAACAAAAAGCAATACAAATTATTCCAGTGCCATTTTATGAAGACGGTAAATGATGACATATCTTAGTTTATCGAGAAATTGAAAGTAATTAGTTTGAAGTACATTAAACATTGTTTAATTGTGTAATAATTTATACACCATGTCCCATTTTAATCGATCACCCCGAATAATTTTGGAGAATGAGCTCCAATTGAAAAATTTCCAGAGCAAAAGTGGTGAGGTTTTAAGAGGGTCGTACGACGTTACGATAATGACCTTGGATTTGACACAGAGGTCAAACTTAGGGGTCATTTGGACGTCAACTTCGAAATTTCAAATGGAAACCTCTTTATTTTATCCAGAAATGAAAAGAGCAGGAAATTCTACGTTCAGATATTTGGTCTTGGGTCAGATTGATCCCTAGGGACCCTCTGAAGGTCATATCAGCTTAAATGACCCCTAAATTTGACCCTAAAGCGCAAGGTCAGAGTCACAATTAAACCATAAATCTCATGACCACGGTAGTTTGTATGGAATTTCTCACAAAAAAAATACACAACGTTTGACATAAAATGTAAACATTTCAGTTGGAAGGCTGATTTGACCTTCAGAAGATCCCTAGGGGTCAAACTGACCCAAGATCAAATATACATCTCTGAACATAGAATCTCTTGCTCTTTTCATTTCTGGATAAAACGAGTAGGATTTCCATTTGTGAAATTGGCCTCCAAACGACCCCTAAGTATGACCTCTGGGTCAAATATCAAGGTCATTATCGTACCCTTAAAACCTTACAACTTATATTCTGGAAGTTTTTCAATTACAGGTAATTCTACAAAGTTATTCGGGATGATAGATTAAAATGGGACACTGTTTTAGATAAAAAAACATTTTCATCATAAATTTGATTTAAGATGACTACCAATGCAAACTATTACCATTTTAGATCAACCAACAATCAATCAAACCAACAGCAACGTGGTGGACGGCATCAACCTGGATGAAATCAAAGATTTTGCTAAAGCCTTCAAACTAAGACGTCTCTCTCTAGGATTAACTCAAACCCAGGTTGGTCAGGCGTTGAGCGTCACTGAAGGGCCTGCCTATAGTCAAAGTGCCATCTGCAGGTAGGTAACATTTACTTTAATCTCTACGCTTTATTCTGGAGACGCCTTGTTTTGAATACCGCCTCATACATATGACATTGAAAAGAATTAATATTTCGTGCTTTGAACAACTGAAAACAGTATAATTTTATCAAATTAAATGAGACTATACAGTTGGAACGTTAGAAAATATTTACTCTCTATCCGATTTCAAGTTTCATACACACTCGAACTTTGGAATAAATAAAATTATATTAATGGAACAGCACTATTACGCTGGTTCTACGCGGAATTTACTTTAATTTATTTTAATGCTACGAACAGGTGGAAAACAACGGCGGTACTATAACGGAATAAAGTTTATTAAACCAGGACATATCCATACTATTTTTATTAATATCTACACACTCCAAAGGGCGCAACAGGTGGATTATTTTGTGTTTTAGTATAGAATATCTACGGCGGCGTGACACGACAGATACCTTCCACAGCTTTACGCTGTAGGTTTCTTTCAGTCGGTGATTGCTTTTGAAGGTGTATACAAATAATGCCTCCGTGATTCATTTATGTGGATACGAATAATGATTTGTGTGTTACAATAATTAGATTTAAATAATAAATTACTTTGTGTACTTATACAAGGTGTTGGGTAGTGATAGGTATACCTACCGCACAAAATTAGAACCATTATTTTTATTTTTGATCGGAAAGGCTCAAGGGCGTCGCCAAGGGGGGGAAGAGGGGCAGCCGACCCCCCTAGAAATTCGAATTTTCTTAAGCTAAGAAAATATTAGATTGGAAATTTTTAATAAAATATTTTATTTACTTAAACTTTAATTTTGAAAACTTTATTTTTTTAAAAAACAATTGTAATAAATTCGTATAAATATTGGTTGATAAAAGAATTTAAAAATATACAATTCTATGTTAAAAAGTAATACATTTATACATACAGAAATCATGTATCTTTTTCCGTTTTCGAGATATCCAGCTGGGGAGTTTTAAACGGGACACCCTGTATAGTGGAATTTTGAACAAAAAAATTATACCTAAACAGTTTTAATAAATTAAATTGTTTTAGAGATATTTAAATTGTACTCAAATAAATCAATAACTTAATTTAAACTAAAAAATAATAACTGGGAAATTACTCGTTTTGCAATATAGTGCAAGACATGATTCTCGTTGAAATACAATTTAGAAATCTAGTATAAATTCTGATCATTAAAAACCAGTACTCAAGTTTCATCAGTCTACGTAAGGTATCTTCAGAGATACTTGAATCTATAGTGAGTTTTCTTCAAATTCAACACCCTGTATATAAAAAATCAGTGACAGTAGACCTGATTTATCAAGACTTATCTAACATTTTTGTTGATATTAACGAAAAATTTAATTTATTAATAAAATATGCAATGTAAAAACGAAAATTAGACTTCAGTGCAATGAAATAAAATGGGTTTTCTTAGAGGCTAATAATGGATAAAATTAAATTATTTTAATGAGTGTTTTATAAACTATTTCTTGACAAAAATGTACCCAACAAGATATAAACCTGCATTATTTTAAATTATCATGTATACAGTGTGGAACAACCAAATGGAATAAATTCAGTATCTTAATTATTGTGCACATCTATAAAAAATTCCATGTAATGCTAAAGTCACACGAAGTGCTATGCTTTAGCTATGTTCGTTTGGTATAACAAAAATAGCTGCTATTGTTTCGATGACAGATACATCGAAACAAATTTGATCCTTGCAAAACTGTGTCTATATTAAAAAAAAAGTGGATATTAAGGCCAGACAGAGCCAATATACAGGGTCGGAAAGTACCGATGGTCCATCTGCCGTTACGTGAGAGCGATAAAGTAAGTCATAGAAATCCGTGCGATAGAGAAAGATGGCTATATAAGATCCACTTCTTATTTGTGGAAGGGCGAAATGGGCGGTGACTATTAGACGCCTTCATTATACCCATCCTTCTCTAGCGCATGGATTTATATGTCTTACTTTATCGCTCTCACGTAACGGCAGATGGACCATCGGTACTTTCCAAACCTGTATAATACTTGTTATAAAAGAAATACTTAAAACATTTCTGATATTGGAAATAATCATGAACTGTCATTATCTCGGTTTTTAACAATTCTGTGATAACTAATTTTAGCGGCAAAGCTGTAAATTAACCAATAATGTGTGAAGGTCGTTAATTTTCAATAAAATACTATATGTTCTATTTAATTTATTTTAAACATCCTTAGAAATTTTTTCCGACGTTTATCTTGTATTTTTTGTTTTTCACATTATTACATACTCTTAATATATTACTAAATTCACTTTAGGTATACAGACAACAGTCACCGTCATTGACGAAAAGCCGAAAAGAAAATATGCTTCGACTCATTTAACACCACCGCGACGGAAGCTTACCTAATTAGGTAATTTAAAAAATGGTGACTATGTTTAATAAGCAGAATAAACCGAGCTCTCATGGAGCTCCATCTGGTCATAACATAGGCTCTTTTTAACGTGTTTAAACAACACAGCGAACATAGCGCTTTGTGTGACCTCAGCTTTATACTCTCCTCGTAAATAAACGGCATTTACCGAATAATTAGTTTTTCCACACACTTATCAGTCATAGTGAACAAAGCTATCATAGTGCTCCGTCTAATCGTAACACTGAATGTTTTTAAGGCGTTTAAACACTTGAACGAACATAGCTAACGTAGCGCCCTGTGTGACCCCAGCTTTACACACTCTCCCCTTAAATAAACGTTATTCGTTGGCGACATTCATTAACGGGCGTCGTTTATCGAATAACTAGTTTTGCCACACCAAATCCACCGTTGCCCCCCTTGGAGTCCCTCCACCCCCTTATTTTTCACGTAAGTAATGATTGTGGTTTGTTCCCAGTGCCCTGGCGTCACAGATGTTTGCCGCCGCGCAACTTTCCACTCAGCAGCAGGCAATGTACGTCACTTATTTCTTACCTACAGTAATGTTCTACCTAGTTGTTATAACACTTAGGGTACTTTAGTGTTGGTGTTGTCTGATATTGGGTTTTTGCGCCAGGGCACTGGCATTTAACTAATACGAGACCGCGTCGCCTCTTTCTGTAATAGTATGCTAGTGTCCTGTGCCAAAAAATCTCGCCGGAGTCTTTTGAGTGTGATCATAGGAACTGTGATTTTCTTGTTTAGGTTCGAAAAGCTCGACATCACCCCGAAGAGTGCCCAGAAGATAAAGCCGGTGCTGGAGAGGTGGATGAAGGAGGCGGAGGATAGGTTAGTATTAATATTTGTATGAAACAAAAATAAATATACAGGGTAATCCTCTAACGGTACTGATTACACAGTCACACACAAAAAAAGTTGATTGTACTTTTCATGCGAAATATGTTATCCGTAGTATTTTTGTCTCCTGATCATGAATCCGGTGTCAGAATTGAGCTATCACATCACAGGAACTTCCTAACCTCAAAAAACAGATCAAAAATAGCAAAAATTCACGAAAAAGTGCTAGGGAAAATACCAAAACAATTTTTTCTATATTCAAATGTTCATTTATACCTCGCCGAACTTGAATGTGTGGTCAGAATTGATGGTTCATTTTCTAACCTCAAAAGAACTTAAGATCAGATATCATGAATTTTCAAAAAATAATATATTTGCGCGAAATTTGGTATAAGGGGGTTTTCGGGGTCGCTGTTTACGTATTCGAGGTCAGAATTGCGAAATTCATTTTATAATATTTTTGTTTACTTTATAACTTGAGTACCCAATAATGTTTTGACCTTCTTTTATTCTGCCTGATCTCGGTTAATAATGTACATAGGTAATTGATTAAATTTTTAAAAACGAATTTTGTAAATCTGATCTTGGATTCGTGATCAGTGGTCACGAAAACCCCCGTGTAGCAAATTTGGCGCAATTGTACTATTTTTTTGAAATTTTAGTCGGTCGCCATCTTGAATTTTCTAAAATTGATCTCGAATTCGTGATCGGCGACCCCGAAAACGCCGTAATACCAAATTTAGCGCGAATCTATTATTTTTTGAAAATTTGGTCGGCCATCTTGGATCCGCCATCTTGATTTTTGCAATATTGACCTCGGATCCGTGATCAGCGACCCTTAAAACCTTCGTATACCAAATATGGCGCGAATCTGTTATTTTTTGAAAATTCGTGATATCTGACCCGTTTTTTTGAGGTTAGAAAAATAACCATCAATTCTGACCGCAGATTCAAGTTCGGCGGGGTTTTAGCCATATAAATGTACATTTGAATACAGAAGAAAAAAATATTTGTATTTTTCCTAGCACTTTTTCGTAAATTTTTGCTATTTTTGACCTGTTTTTTGAGGTTAGGAAATTCCTGTGATGTGATAGCTCAATTTTGACACCGGATTCGTCATCAGGAGGCAAAAATACTATGAATAACATATGTCGCATGAAAAGTACAGACAACTTTTTTTTATGGTGATTGTGTTATAGGAAACTAGACGTACTATTAATAAATACGACCAAAATAAATTAATTTAAAATATTTTCAAGTTTGTAACGTCACCGCTAGAGGGCGAGACTGCTATAGTGTTACAGAAAATTGTCGTTTTTTCGAAATTTCGCTTATATAACCTTTTGTTATTACCATATCAACGCCATCTTGAAATTTTTAAATTGTCATAATTTCTAAATGCCTTAAGGACGTTCGATACACCTCTTCCGGGGCGGGCGGTGCGGAGAGTATGTTTATACGGAGTCTTGTTGCAGTACCAACTTTACATAAATTAATTTCAGCGAACTAAGTATGCTATTTAGAATGAAATTTATACAACACATATTAGCTTGCATATTTTTTTCGTGTTTAATACACGTCAGTTCACTTTTTATTTGAATAAAAGCGTCTATTTATTCATTACGAGCTTGTAAAATTATGGATGAAATCTGGCAACATTGCCATGGCGTGGTGGTAAAAGTTGGGTCAACTGTCATTACTGTCAACTTTGCGCGAATTCCGTAAACATGAATGAACAACCAAGGTACAAAGGAAAAGTAATGACTGAAAAGTATAAAATGAGTGTAAAACAGAATGTGGATTGATGAGAAAAAAATAAAATGTGCAAACCGAGAATCCATATGATAACTATCAAGAAGTTCAATGTATGATAGTGAGACGTCGACTTGTCAAATTGAAGATTATGACATAACAACTAAACTGTTCGTTTTGCAAAGAGATCCTTTCAATTTTTGTTTCAAATTGCTAGTATATTGCTTTAGATCACGAAAAATTTATTTAATATTAATTATTACTACATATATTTTCGACTGGAATAATTTTATAATCTATAATTGAGCTATTCAAATATAACGCATCAGTCGAAGCATTAAATACAGCGTACAGTGTTGCCATATTTCCTTTCATTGGATCAGATGTTTGTTCAAATTTGTCAAAACGTTATCTATTCATTCCATTATCTCAATAATTACATTGTAAGTGCATATTTTTATTGTTTTAAAATGTTTAGTAATATTTAATTCTTTAATTACAATTTTATTTTCCCGATCCTAACCATTTTTAAGAGCAATATTCACGTTTGATTAAAGTTTTTTCCCAACTCCCATAAGAGCCTGTGTAAAAGAGCATAATTTTTAAATTCATTTTTCAAAAAAACTACGTTGTCAATCGATCTGATATTTTTACACAAGTCAGTTTGCATATTTATTAACAGATTTCAATTGCTTTGAAAACATTCTTACCATTTTTCTTTTGGTATCGAACCTCCTTAATCGACTTCAAGAAACGACGGCTAATTTTGAAAAACTAAAATTAATCCCTGGACACACTGTGTATACTTACACTATTAATAAACTTTATTGTACTTAAATTCTCAAGTTTTTACTGAATTATTTTATTAAAAAAGTAAAAAGAATCAAAAAATCTTATTTTTTGCTTTCTTTAAAATTGTTTATTAACGATTTTCTGCATAAATTTTTTTTTACATTTTTTAAATAAGCCATTTCGATGAGAAATTCAATTCTCTACAAAATGTTTCCTATGAACTATACCGAAATTTTGCTTCGTTTTCGTGCTATATTTAAAAAACTGTAAAAGTGCTTTTTCACCCCTATCTTCTATTTCAACCCTCTAATTTAATAACGCCCTACGGTTTTTTCATTTTTAATGACCCTTCGAACAAGTCATGTGATGAAATTTCCTTTCTTTTTTGCAAAAATGAGAATTAAAAGTATAAGGGTAAATGCGGCGAAAATCGAAAAATTGGCTAAGTTTGAGCAGCCATATATCAGTCAATTTTCATCCAACAATATTTTACAACCTCTTGTTTTGAAGGAAATTTTATCTACTTTTTTTCTATGAAGCAATGCCAATATCTATCTGTACTCAAAAAAAACTAGAGGCAAAAAAGTAAAAAAAAAATCAGAAAATCGAATTTTTTGCTTTTTTTAAATTGTTTATTAACAATTTTTTTGCATAAAATTTTCCTTTGAAATTTTTTAAATAAGCTATTTCCATGGGAAATTCAATTCTCTAAATAATTTTTCCTATGAACTATAGAAAGTGGTGCATTTTTACCCTTATCTCCAATTTCCACCCTCTAATTTAATAGCACTCTTCGGTTATTTCAGTTAAAATGACCATTTGAACGATTCATGTAATAAAATATAATTATCGTCATGGTTCCTTGTAAAATCCTATATTCAATAGCCTATTAATGAATAAATAATTTTGATTCACAAAATGTGGATGGAATTTTGCTGAGGTTTAATACCTAGACTCTGAATAAAGGTTCTCTTTAGTCCTACCTTACCCGTAACTTTAGTCTTAAGCTTTAGTCTGAGTCTTAATCCTAATATTTTTACTTCGTCTATAAAAATTTGGTCTAAGCTTAACAATTGGTCATCCAATGACACACTTTTGCATGGTATTGGTCTTAGTCCTAAGAAGTTAAAACATAGAATTCAGATCTTAAGACCTCCTTAGAACTAAGACTATGTTAAAATTTTTATAAACCAGCACATCAAATTCTGAACATTTAACTTTGTAAGATAAAAACGAAGGCCAAGTTAAGACCAAGTTATAAGTCACCTATACTACAAATGAGAAATTGATATATGAAGATTAATATTACTGATATTTTAAAATTAAATTATAATCCATTTAAGTTTTTCTGATTCTAGATACAAAAGTGGACAGAACCACCTGACAGACTTTATCGGAATCGAACCATCCAAGAAAAGGAAAAGACGAACCTCATTTACACCACAGGCTTTGGAACTTCTTAATGCCCACTTCGAAAGAAACACTCATCCATCAGGTAAAATATATTTAGTTATATTTATTACATATATCTCTATATTATCATAAAGCACCATTTCCTCTACAATTTTTCATTTATGCAATCTGATCAAAGACATTTTGGCTTTTTTGCAGGTACCGAAATAACTGGTTTGGCACACCAATTGGGATACGAAAGGGAAGTCATCCGAATATGGTTTTGCAATAAAAGACAGGCCTTGAAGAACACCGTCAGGATGATGTCGAAAGGAATGGTTTAAAACTGTGATTTTTAAATTTTAACGTGTAAATAATACTCCAACAATCAGTAAAAGTGTAAATAATATTGTGAATACAAGAAAGTTTAGACCTAAGGGATCTATAGGATAAAATGTGTGTACACTTTTATTTATTTATTTTATTCAAGTATTTATTTTTGTAATAACACGGATTTTAGAAAACTGCTATGTCGGAAGAAGATATGTATACGATTAGAGTCATGTACATTATTTTTTAAATAAGAGATACATATCTGAATGTTATGTATACGAAACTGCAAAATTACTTGTCCAACGTGACCAATACGGATTTAGAACAATCAATTTTAAATGGAATGTAAAGATATAATTTTGATAAGAAAATAAAAAACAAAACTAAATACGCAAGCCTAGCTCTGTAGTAATGCCATATATTTTTATTTCTTTTAGGATTTTGCTATTACATAAGATATACAAATCGAACTTTCATACACTAGTAGCTCAAAGATAATACAGTAACTGCCACCTAGCAAAAAGCGAAAGCTTAAACGATATTCATTTTTGAAATCCCGCAGTTATCAATTTAACGCATCTTATGTAATAACAATGTTTAATTTGAAATGATCTCAAAGTGTATATTTGTATAAAAAAAATTGTAAGTAGGGGGTTTAAGAACCTCTGAAAGAAACCAAAGTTCCTATTAGTTCTTAAGATTGCGTGTTTTGTAAATATCTCTAATTTTAAGGACGTAGTTAAATAACTATTAAATTTACGGAAGTCTGTCGTTGTCAGAATAGATATTATTATTGTGAATTATTATTATTAGGCATCTTGTAATATACGATAATATAGTAAGTGGATGAAATTGTACTTGTTCGTAATGTAGATGTAAACAAAATAAAAGATCATTGTGGTATTAGATGCTGTTTTATTTAACATTAATAGAAATCGCCTAATTCAGTAAACTACATTAACTTTTATATTTTGAAATAGTTTGTGTTTAAACAGCACTAGGCAATTTTTAAACCATTATTCGTATTTGCGGAATTACAAGTAATCTTCAAACAAAGTTAATAATAATTCAATACAAAGTTAAAAACTGTGAGTTGCACAAAAATAAAATTACATCGAGTAAGCATTATCTATCTATATTATATGTACTTACCTTGAATGCTATATCCTCTCACTTCTAGATGTGACAGTTTTATAATCTAGGTATGTATTTTTCATTCAGATTACCATTCTCCAATTTCATATGCCCAAAAAACCAACAGGATAAAAATGAATACAATTATTTACATTGTTAACCCGAGTGTTCACCATAATTAGGTATATAAATTTATTGAAAAGGCAATCATTTAAGTTTAACATTAGTATTTTCTACTTTGAAATCACAAATAATGTAAATTAAACACAGAAATACAATTGTGTATATTTTTAAAATTCAAATGACGCTCAGCCATACACCTGCATAACTCACTCATACTGAATTTACTCTACCGTCTAATAGATAGCACCACGAAAAACAAAATGAAGAGGGTACGTTCCTTATTCAATTTCAATTACAGCAGAGTATTTCAGTACATATTTGTAAATATAAAATAAGTAGATATATGTATAGGTATATTTAGTTTTACATTTTTGCAAAAGTAACAAATCAGGTTATTGCTGGTTGATTTCAAGGATTTTAAAATCCTTGGGGTGATTTATCTTTTTAAGTCTATGGTTTGCTACCATAGTATACCTACTACAGTAGTGTAGTAGGTAGTAGCATACGAGTTACGCAAAGGTTTATATTTTTTATGGGAAACAAATGTGTTTATAATAAACAATAATGTTACACACGCATTAAATACAAGCATATTTTACTAATTTCAATTTTTAATCTATGTTTACAAATGCAAATCGCTAAATAGAGTTCGTCTGAAATTTTACTATTACATATAAGATTCTTATATCTTATAAGAATGAAGTATTACAGAAATATTCTAGGGAACATTTACGAAATTATATTTTAGTAACTCGGTAGGGCAGGTATGACAATATTATGATCCCCCTAATTACGTGTCAATTCTGTGTTCTGCTATAAATTAACATTTCAACTTTTCCGGATTTGTATCCGGTATTTTTTTCGCATAAAAGTTTTGAATTTTTTTCAGACAAAAAAATCCTTCATCTTGTTAACTGTTGCACTGAACAGATTTTTATTCACCGAAACATTTTCAACTAAGGCAGTACTACTATCGGTTCCGAGGTGGCGCCGCCAGAAAAAATCGGCACCGACTGGATTTAAAATGCACTCAGTCGCCATCTTCGCGTTCATATAATCGTGTTCGTTTTCCCAGACGTGCTTTGAGCGAGATGGAAAGAGTGTATATTTAGAATGTATTTGTAGTGTGTCGTTATTTTAAGTGCTACCGTGCGAAAAGTGTTTGATGTGAAATTTTAGTGATACGATTTGGAAATGGATGGATATTTAATTTGCAGACAGCTGTAATTGACGTTTTCTTAAGGTGAGTAATAAAGGCTCAATAAACTAGTTCAGGACTCTTGGAGATTGTTATATCTCGTCTCAAGATATCTAATTAAAAATACCTATGCTGACAGTTTTGATAACTCAACTTATATTAATCTTATCCGGATCGTTCGTTAATATGGTAACAGGTTGTTTTGTTTTTATTCCACCGGCGTTGGCTGTCAGTACTTAACAAATTTTATAGTTTATTACATCGTGTGTATACATTAAATTTCATCTAGTTAATCACGAAAAAAATGCATCAACTCGTTTAATAACTCTTGATGGTTAACTTCTATCAAAACTATTTTGCTCTGATTAACTCAGTCATTCTAAATTTGTGTATGAAACAACATTCCCAAATATTTACATTAAATTATATCTACAGGAATTAAAAATGTATAGAGTGGTTAATATCTTCCCTAGTCCTAGATGATTATTCAGTATTACCAAAAATATTAAATTAACAGCTAAGAAGTAGGTATTTACCGCTATTCAAACCTTGTTATCTGCTTGTTAAGTCTGGACAAATATTGGTTTTGTTGTTTCTGAATAGTCGTATTTTATCATTTTGTTGATAAATTTTGGAATGTGGTCTTTGGAATTAACTTTAGTGTGGTTTAGGGGCAGGTCCTGGTTTTCATGATGCTATTATCCGAGGGTAAAATGGAACAGTAAAATTAATGAGGACTAGGTATGACTGAACGTTGTGGGGAAATTTTTTATGAATAGGTAGTTGAAATTTTCAAATAAAAGTAGCTAATACGAACATGATCATTTAATTATACGGTTGAAGCAACTAATGAATGTAGTACAATGCGAAAGGTTAGTCATCCCCTAAAAGGTGGTAGTAGGTATCAGGGGTGATTTATTTATTATGTACGAAAAGTAAGGCTTTAGAAATTCCCTTCCTTTGTTCATTGTACAAGTTATTGTGCATCACCACTCGTCTTGGCACCTCATTAACCTTTTAGGTAGGTATACTTATTTATTTTTAAAATAGGCATCCTATTTATAATTGAATTTTTGCGAATGCTTATCTCAGTTCTGCCTTGTTTTAGTCATCGCTGTTGTAGTTACAAGGAAATTTGACGATGATTTTTTTTATTTTAATGAATTAAAAAAAGCCTCTCACCACATTTATTAAGTATAATTATTACAACAGCCTTGAGAAACCCAAAAAGTTATTAGAAGTCTTCCGTATTAAACAATAGTAGTAAGCTTATAAGTATTACAAATGAATAATTTACATTGCAATTCTAGGAAAGTCGAAGACTAGGCACAAATAAAACTAATGCTCAGATATTAAACTAGAAACTAAGTCAAGAAGTCTCTGGATGCAACATAACCTCAATACTTAAATCATAAATAAAAAAGAAATATTGCAGCTACCTAATAGACCTACTTATTTTATGGTGGGATCCGTAGATGTAGGTATATTTTACATGAAAATTAATATTTTTCCTTATCGCGCATCCTGATGTTTCTCGTGTTCAATTAATTATGTGTAAGTTATTAGAAAGTATTTTTAGCCCACATGGGATCAGATGTGAGTTATTACTTCTGTATGCTTTCTCCTTATTTAAATTCATCTAAGTTCATTATTGGAAATAATAATCTTAATCAATGTCAGGGCAACTTAGAAAATCTCTAACTGCACAACTGAGGCTTCGTAGCGACGTGGCTACAGGGTGCTTCGCGTAAAGTTGACAATGGTGTTGATTTAACTTTTCAAGCATATCTTTAAATTCTACTAAATGAGTATCTACCTATGTATATTTAACCTCTCTTCTATTTTTGTGTGTTGTTTTATGTAGAAATAGAGATTATTGTGTCGTAGGAATATAGTTTCAAAGAATTGGGGAGTACCTGCGACTAAGTATACAAACACTGGGGTGTAAAATAAGGGTGAACGACGCATAAAAGCCAAATTATTTCATTGTACTGGGGCATTCTGTTTGTATTTCTGCTATTATCTGTCATTAATAATATTGCCTGTCAATAGGAAGTGCTCGAAGTGATAATATTAATGGCTACAGACACAATAACATTGCGAGGAATATCGTATCGGTCTTCTTTGCTTTATTTAAAGCAATTTTTGCAGCGTTGGTAGTTACACATTCGAAAAAAACCTAAAAGATGTTTTTTTTACATACCTAATTAAATAAATCTCATCTCTGAGTTGATTCCTTATTTTCAAGAATTAAAAAATAGGTAGATATACCTACCTACGTACTAATAATTTTATAAGAGATTGCTTTATCTTTGCTTTCATTGTAGTTTTTAAATTATGCATCTAGTTACATGCAATAGTACCTGCACAGGTTTCTATCTTATCTGTCATTAGAAAGCAAATTATAAATGTGCTTGGACAGCGAAATAATATATCTTACGTTTGCTCCACATCCATACACAATGAATGACATACAGGGTGTTTTGGAATGAGAATAAAATAGGGACCCGTTGAACAATTTTTTTCCTTGTGTACCATGGACTTCTGTGTTTTATTTTTGGGATACAGATAAGTACACATTTCTTTGCACACTGAAATTTCGTACATGTAAGTTTTAAACTTTATCACACAAACATTTTTTTTTATCTTGACCATAATTAAATTATTAAGTTGTGCGTATAATTTTAATGAGACTTTCTAAATCTCGTCCGCATAATAAACTATCCATAATAGGTAATGCATATTCACACTTCCACACAATGCATACACAGTAATGGCTGATGCTGTTTTACTCTACATACTTCGTTGACTGTTGACGGTTGCGCATTAATTAGTATAGCATTATTAAGTTATAGGAAGTAAATCGTTCACGTAATTGCATGATCTTGAAATTACGTAATTTGTTTGAATACATTAAGTAATATTATTTAGTTTCTTCCAATAAATATATTTGTATGTCTCTTGGATATAAGTATTCATTTAAGACTCTCCAAAAAAATGTTTGTTCGTAAATAAGTAATTATTTAATTTTCACAATTATTCATAACAAATTAGTCTCATTGTAACATTTTGGAAAATAATGAAGTAGGTATACTAAATACAGCACCTATATGACAATAAATACTTTATTCTTCAAACAACTAAAGTTTCTTACTAGCTTCAACAAATATTTTCCCTCTGTAGAATGCAATCAATTCGAGAGTACCTTTACCTACTGTGTGCAATTACATTTTGCATCATAATATTTGACAGGAACAACCTTAAAAAAATGGTAAATGTCAGGAAAAGTTGTAGCTTGCGTAGACAGTCGAAAACTAATTACATTAATGTATTTAACACCTTTAAAAACTTAGTTGTACCAAATTTCGATGCAATACATTGTTTTTCGAGGAAGATATTGCCATAATTTGATTTTAAACAATCCTAAAGACCAATGACGTCCTATATTTGTAGTCCAAATGAAGAAAATAGTATAATATTTGTGTTTTATCAATCTTTTAATTTATGGCTGTTTTTTTTCAGATTCATAGGCATAAAAAAGTGTTCTTGAAATATGTATTCCTATATTTCGTAATAGACTCTTAGTGTGACGTCACATATTTAGTCTACCCTCAACAAATTGTCATAGTTGAAATTGTACAGACCGGAACTGACTCTTGTGTACTATTTACATAGATACTATCAAGATAAACAATTTCGATTTAACTTATTTTTACCAGGATTTAGAAGTAGTTGCCAGAAAAAAAAGGACACTGAAGAAAAGAAAACCATGTTTTCGTAATTTTTTTTTTGTAAAAAATATTTAAAATTTTCACAATTTTCCGCAGAGATACTCGACTCCGAACATTGGAAACCGTCTGGCAATTTATTTATATCATTTTAATAACAAAAATTTTCATTGTTTCGATTGCCCGACAAAAAGTAAAAGATGAATTTTTTTCTCTTCTTGCAAGTTCACCCTTATGAACCACCCTTTCGGCTACCTATTTAAAACCGTCTGGTATTTGAAAATTGTTAGGTCCTTATTAATGTCTATTTTTGGAGCAACTGCCAGACACTTTAAGATAAGTTAAAAACTAATTATTTTATGCAAAAGGAGATTAATTTTACAAATCAAAATGCCAGACATTTTTCGATGACGCCACACCCATGTGTGTTTACCTTAACTGTATATATGTTCCTCTTCATACTGGTTTGAACTTCTCCTCTGATAACTGAAAGTTCATCATTATAGAGCATTTTTTGTACATAACCAAGGAAGCAGAATTTTCTTCCCTTTCGATAACCTTCTCTTCAAAGCAGTTACACAAAAATTGCACTCATACTAACTGGTCTTTGAGGCATGATAATGTATCAAAAATTGTTACAAAATTTAGGAGAAAGAAAGCAAGAAATCACATCAAGTTGACATACACGTAACCGTAACCAAAAACCAAACTTTTCTTGAAGGGTAGCCTGTTGCGAGGCTACTTCGTTTACATGAAATCATTTTAATGCGCATGCTCAGTAGCATTGATATAATTTTAATTTATTAATTACTATAAAAGTCAATATTGTTCTATAAAATGAAACACATATGGGGCGTTCCACGCCAAATCGGACGGTTCGAAAAATTTAAATTTTCGATTTCCTTAATTTTTTTATATTTTTTAGTACCCCTCAAAAAAGCCTTTCTGGTAAATTTTCAGATTTTTTTGATACTTTTTCAAAAGATATAAAATTTTCAAAAACGCTCTTTTTTTTGTTTTTTTGATCATAACTTTCTTAATAATGGTCCAAATTAAAGCTTTTTTTTATAAAAATATTTGTTTTTAGATGGCCTTTACAGATAAAAATACAAAAGAAATATTCAAAGTGTTTTTGATTAAGATTTTTAAGTTTAAAATTTTAAATCGTGTTTTTGAAAGTGAGTGTATCTTTCGATTTTTGTGAAAATTTTCTATTTCAAACTACTATTCTTTTAACAACTTTTAGGACCGGTCCGGTCGTGGGCCCTCCATAATTACTATTTTTTTTTTGATTTTTGAAATTTAAAACAAAATTTT